GACAACAACACACAACACATCGAATCAAACTCACATCCTGTCGCGAGACTCGGATACGGCGCGCTTGCTCGGACTGAGCACTTTGTCCAATTTTCACACCGTTCTCGATCAATTCTCTCGAGCTCATCTGAATCAGGAGAATCAAGTCGGATATGCCGGTCAAATGGAAATCAGCCGCAAACTCAACTATTTGGCTCGCATCGGTTCAGACAACGTTAACCCAGATATCGCCATTTCAATGAAACAGTTCATAAACTCGAAGTCGCCCTATATTTCAACCCGGTTGGATTCAAACGAATCAGAAAATTCTGTGCCGTCAATACAAGTGAGTAGTAGTACCATTCAACTAAGACTGCATGAACTTTCCATCTTGAGCTCTTGCCATCTGTCATCGACAGGTGTTTCGTTTGAATATGCTGATTCTTATTACGAGCGGAATATCAGGTGCCCACTCAAGATCCCGCGCACTTTATCATATGTGGTTACATAGTTGAACTTTTTCTTGCACCAACTTCACATCTTTATTCTCATCTCTCTTCGCAGACTGAACGCTTATTCAATAAACGGCCCTCCTTGCCAGGACAACCGTGGTTGACCGCAAATGACCAAAATTGCGATTTCAAAGTATTTACTGCCCCGAAGTGTCCACGTCTCTCAGAAGTGACGGTTGACGAATCATATTCTGGGGCAAGCCGAACAAATCCTTCGACGCAAAGTTCCATGATCAATCAATTAGCCAATCCGGAGTCATGCGCGTTCCCGAGGCCCAACGACCACTTTTTGCCTTGGCGGAGGTTCTCTGCTATACCCTGATCTGATTGATTTCGGATACTAAGCGTCCACAATTGACATTGAACGAAATGTGACTGTCGGTGACCGGCCGCGGACTAATATCTATCTACCCGATACCCGTTTGCCTACAAAAAAATGCCCATGCTTGCTGCATTCTATCAGCTTGTGTATAAATAACTACGAGTATTTTCTTATACATACCGCCTTTTATATATTTTCGTTTGGGATGGCTATTTACGTATACCTAACAGAAGAGTTTTAGGTTATTGCCCGGTTCGATAGTACGCCCACCCCATTTAGGCTTTATGCTGTCTGCTACTCCGAGTTCTGGGGCGTCCAAAATCGGCTACCACAACGGAATCGGTCTTTGTGACTACAGAGTTTACCCGCTCTTCTGTTCACCAAATTGTATGGAGAGAGATACACCTGAAATTGTCGCCGCACAAGCCCACAAAACAACCACATAATTGCCTGTTATTCCGAAAAAAGAATCAACCGAGTGTTTATTGGTAATAACCAACTGAATTCGAGAAAGTGATATGACTTCCGAGTACCGTA